ACGCTCTTCCGATCTCCCCAAAACCCCAAAACCCCAAAACCCCTCTGTTATTGAAGTATCAACAATTTATAAACTAAATAAAATTGAAATTTAAATGAAATTATCAAGAGAATATCTAATTACTGAATAACTTAATATCATTACCATTAACATTCAAATCAAGGGCATTGATCCATCTCTAACAAATAGTTCACTTAATTCTCTTAAATATCCTGTCTTTTAAATGCTCTGAGCAAGTAGATGATGCATTTTAAATTCATTTCCTATAGACACTAGTTTAGCCTTGAATCTTAATTCATGTCCCTTCTTTAAAGTACTAAACATTTCACTTAACTATTTATCCAGTGAATAAGGAATCGATAGTACGATATCGGGATACATCATTGACTCGGACGGGAACATCTTAATCATTATAGTTTTTACTATTGTATCTGAGAACAACGGGAACCTATCAGTATCCTTAATCTCAGAGAAGTAGCCTAACCATTCTATTACATTATTTTCGTATTTCTGATTAAATACACTTCTAGCATGAATAAAATTCTCCACAATTACCTGGCCACCACAATCAATCAAAAATTCATTCCAAGAGGAACTAATTTAAATTGACTACTCAGGAGTGTGATAGGGAGTGAGAGGCTGGAAGAAAGATGGTCTCAGATATACATAGTATAAACAAAAGCCTAATACTAAAGATAAGGCGATGATCGCATATAGCCTAGCTAAAATAATAGAGCACTTCCCAAGTCTGAACTGCCAGATCTACAAGAAATTTACAAATAAAATTATTACCTCGTCAGAAAAATTGTTAGGTAAACCGACCCAACTCTTTTAACCCATCTTTTATAAGCACCTTGAGCATCTATGAGTAGCAATTTGAGATACAAGATAAACAACAGGTATGATGAAAGTAGAAAGTAGTCCAAAAGCTAATATGCTCAATAGGGAAATTAACAGCAGAGATGAATTTGTTTCTAGTTCAACATAAGTCACCACATCAACATTGCAATGCCTGCATTTTTTTGTTATTGGGCTACAAATTTCATTAAAATTACTCATATAATTTGAAATACCTGATATCGAAGTCCTCCTCTACTTTAGGCTAATTACTTGGATTTTAAACTTTCTATTATTCTTCAATTAATCTTTTATCTTCATTATCTTCGACCATTTCTAAATCGTCATCTTTCTTTTTTTTTGCTCTTAATCCATCTTCAGACATTTTAGATAAAATTTTTAATTTTAAAACTAAATAATCTAGTGTTTGAGTTTAAAATTATATTAAGCAGACTTTCATATTTATATTAAAAGCACTATACAAAAATGAACTCTTATGGGGTTTTGGGGTTTTGGGG